AGTTTTAGTCCAAAAACACCTGGGGACCTAAAGTTGGGAACCATTGATCTACACAGTCCCAAATACTGTTTCCAAGCGCGTCCAGCCAAGCTGCATGTTGAAGAAGCATGAACAGCTCAGGAAAGGGGAATAACCTTCTTCAGTTGCATTCCTCTAGCAGCTACTACAGCAAACTATGCCACTTCTGAACATAGGAGCTTCATTTACTTATTCATACTTCTTTTTATTTCAGGGATTGAAAACTTTAGAGGCTATTATCTACATAGTTACGAATACAGAGATCAAAAAGAACTTGAAGGGAAAAAAGTTCTTGTTGTCGGGGCTGGCAATACTGGAGGGGACATCGCTTCAGAAATCTGTCGCACAGCTGCTAAGGTGTCTTCCTTTCTTTGTATCAGAGCTTTGCAAAATTTAAAATTATGGATGTATATGAAATATAGGTGAAATTAAAAACAAATTAAAATGTTAAGATAATTAGACTGTTTTTGATAATGCTACTTCAATAGCATTAGCTTGGCCATTTGCTAGATCTTTTGTACACATGTTGGGGCATAAATTGCATGCACCTAAGTGCTACATTGATTGAAGTTCTTCACAGTCACAGAAAATTTGTCCTATATCCAAGTAGCCCCATTTTATTTGATTACTCTTTGGTCTTCTTCTTACTTTGCTTTGAAGTCTATTAAGTGACTTCCAGATGGTACAGCTAGAAACTTGTCCTGGTGGGAGACCATCTTCAGCATTCATCCATTCATAGATTCATAAAAAAGTGAAGTTGGAAGGGGCCTACAAGACCATCAAGTCTAGCCCTCTTGATCAATGCAGGAATACAATCAAAGCATACCTGCCAGGTGATTATCTAAGTTTTTCTTGAATGCCTCCAGTGTTGGAGCACTCACTTTGGCAAGGTGTGTTGTTTTTGTTCTCCATAGGTTTAACCTAGCCTCTTAATTTTTGAGCTGTGTGCAGAAAACTTTTCCTCTATTTTAGCCATGGATACTGCTAATGTATCATCCTTTGTGAATCATTTGTTGCTTTACTTTACTCATTTGTAGTTCAAGTGGGAGCTCTAATGAGATGATCACTATGACACAACAATAACAGCATGTATGTCATTATTTCGATCATCTAAAGCAGTGATCCCCAACCTTGGGCTTCCAGATGTTCTTGGACTTCAACTCCCAGAAATCCTGGCCAGCAGAGGTAGTGGTGAAGGATTCAGGGAGTTGTAGTCCAAGAACACCTGGAGGCCCAAGGTTGGGGACCACTGATCTAAAGCTGCCATGTGAATTATTTTGCATTCATTAGAACAATGGTATAATTTCTATTAACCCCTGTTACAGGTGGGGGCCAGAGAAAGTGTGGCTTGCTTATAAGTTTTACAGTACAAGTGAGATGTAAACTAGGGACATCTTGATTTATAGCATAATCTTTTAAATTCTGCCACAAGAAGCAGCTAGTGTTCAAAAACTAGAAGTAGTGCTCCTGTCATGGACTCTCCACTTTCTGAAGAAATCATGTCTCTAGGCTGTAGAGTCTAATAAGACAGGTGGGCAACATGTGGCTTATAGGTTGTGTGAAGCCCCCGGGGCCCAGACGTGACCTGCCAGCACTCGCAATCCCATTCGAAGGCATTTCACTCTGAAACACTTTGTGTGCCCTCCGCAGGCACGATACCATTCCCCTCTCATTCTCAGGACACTAGAGAATGCAAGGAGGCATTTTTAGTAAAAACAAAACAAATCAAAAAAACTAAGACCAAATTTTTGTATGACCAAAACTGGAAGGATGGAGGATGTAATAACAGTAGTCCAAAGTCCAGGGGATCATGTGCACACGAGCTCTGGAGGTTACCTAACCTTATCTTAAGCTCGGGATGGGCTGTCTTATGCATGGGCATAGTTTAAGAAACGTCCCATCACCCTGCTCCTGATGAATAACAGCGGAATTGACTCCTCTAGGAAGCACACAGGTAGTAGCACTAGGAAAGGAAAAGAGAGAGACCGCCTTCTGACTCTTCCCTGTCACCCCCCTCTGCAAGGAGAAGGGGGAAACTGGATATTCTTTCCATGATTACTAAGTGACATATTATTTCACTGGCTTGCCATCCAAGTAACAGCACTGATCTGTTGTGGGAGGCAACATTTTGGTTAGATACTGGTGCTCTGGGAAGCTGGAAGAATACATTTAACAGCTGGAAATCTCAGTTCAGAGCTATCACAATGAAGGCAATTTTCAGAATGATGATTCCTTCCTTCTTCTTGCAAAAATTGCTGATGTTTTCAGTTTGTTCATTTCCATGGCATCATGACTATTATTAATTGGTGGGCTGCTGGGTCTCTCAGTTCTGAGCCTGCTGTCCTGCTTCATATGTTTTAATTAGATTGTGAATATTTCCTGTTTTCACTTAACCCCTTGAGAGATAAGAATGTTACCACATTTTTAACATGATGTCATTAATTCTTCTTTAATATCTCAATAATTTACTGTTTTTGGCTTTTAATATTATGATAATGATGTAAACCTGCCTTGGGTTGTTTCTTAGGAGAAACCAATAATGTGCCATCAAGTCAATTTGACTTAGGGTGACCTTTTTCAGGGTTATCCAGGTAGAGTACTCAGAAGTGGTTTACCATTCCCCTCTTCTGGGGGTGGTTGGGGACTCTGTAGCTTGCCTAAGGCCTCACAGGATGGCTCTACTCACAGGAAGCACAGTGGGGAATCAAACCCCCAACCTCTCGCTCCACAGCCAGATGTCTAAGAAAAAGGCAGGGTAAAAATATTTTAAATTAAATAAATAAATAAATACTGCACCAGCATCCACATGCTCTCAAAGATATGCTTAGCAATTGTACTCCCTAGGAACCTTTTCCCAACTTTAATTTCCCTCTAGGTGTTTCTCAGCACCAGAAGCGGAACATGGGTGATTAGCCGCATTGCCGATGATGGTTGGCCTTTGGACTTAGTCTTCACAACGCGGTTAAAGAGCTCCATTCAGGGGCTGCTTCCAGGATTCATCGTGACAAGGATGCTGCCAAAGAAATTCAATCAATGGTTTAACCATGAAAACTATGGATTGGTTCCTCTTCAAAGGTACTGTATATTCCCTGAGGACGAACAAAATTGCTTTTGCTGGAATGCTTTGCTTACGAAGCGTTTGTGGTACAGCCTGGTTACAAACTAACTAGCTCCTATGGAGTGATAAAAATCTGTTGGGGTGGCAGGGGAAGGGATTATTTCCCAATTCAATTTCAACAACTTCTTCAAGGGAAATAAGTACTTCATCAAAATAAGTCACTAAAAGGCTTCACTCCATCACTAGGCATGTTTATCAAACAGCAAACATACTCGCTCATCATCTCAATTTTTCCTTAGTGTGTTTTTGAGTTACTTCCCTGAAAAAGAGAAATTCACTGAAAGCCTATACGGAAATGGAACAACTGCACCATTTGAAAAAATTATTTTACCTCACAGAAAATAAACAGAAAAAGGATTACCAACAAACTCTACAACTAAAATAATATGTATAACACGACTAATGTATAAGTACTGTATTAACTTATACAACCCATAACGGTTGGAACCTTACTACCCATTGGAGCGGCTTTCCCCAAGATAATCTACCTGCGGCTACCCAGTCTCTCCTGACTTTGTGATTAAGGGTAATCACCCCAAGAGAGGCCTTGAAATCTACCAGCAGGAACTTGGCCTTTTCAGTTATGGAACACATTGCCTGAGGCTATATGCCTGGCTCCCCACCTCCTGAACTTCAGGAAATGCATAAAATCCTAGCTTTTTAAGGAGGTCTTCAGAAACATTCTCCCCTATCATTTTCTTGCTGTCCCATGTGAATCGTGCTTGAGTCCAGTTTGCCTTTTCCTATTTTCTTGTCACTTTTATGATTCTGGTTTTCTGTTAGTGGGTGGGCAAGTGTTTATTTGGTGTTAGCTGCCAGAAGCCTTGCCACTATATAAATGGTGGTTGTGTTGTTGTTGTTGTTGTTGGTAGTAGTAGTAGTAACTGCGAAACACTGCAAATATTTAGCAAAGATATTAAAATGAAATTTGGAATTGACAAATGTGCAACTCTGTCTATACAACATGGCAAGATATAAAAACTAGATGGAATAGAGTTCAAAATTGTGATAGTCAACATACCCTCTAATTTTTAGCCTCACTGGGAGGGGCTCCACCTCTCTTGTGCATGACTCCTCGCCTGTGTGCGTGTGCATCTCTGCCCCCCTGTGCACTTGGTTCTGTCGCAACCGAAACCTAACATCATTGCTGCGCCAACAAGGAAGACAGCTGCGCAGAGGAAAGCGGAATCATGAGCACACATGGCCAGCTTAGTGGGAACCTTGGTGATATTATAAAATCACTATTAAATGATGGAAATTATAAACACAGTACCTTGGAATACTAGAAGCAGATAACATTCTGCACACAAAAGTTAAAGATCTGACGGAAAGGGAATACTTCAAAAGACTGTGGAAAACCTTAAAATCATTATTGAATGGTGGAAATACAATCAAAGCCATAAACACATAGGCAGTTACAATAATTAGACACCCAGCTAGAATAATAGATTGGACTCAAAACAAATTAGAAGAATTGGATCAAAAAACACGGAAACTAACAAACATGCATCATGCACTCCATCCAAAAAGTGATGTGGCCAGATTATATTTACTACAAACAATTGGAAGCTATGGATTACTCCCAGCAGGCAGTAGAGGAGGGGGGGAGCCTAAAGTATATAAGTAGAAGTAGAAAAAAATTACTTAAGGTGGAGAAAATGGAGAATATTGTGAAAACAACAGAAACAAAGGCTCTACAGTATATAAGAAACAACAACCAAAAGCTTGATTTTTGTTGCACAAGAACAAGTGCTCCAAACTAACGTGATGAAAGCTAAGATCCAATGAATTAGTGCTAATAGCAAATGTCGACTCTGCCAAGAAAAAGATGAAATTGTGTCACACCTCATCTGTGAATGTCAAAAGACTGCACAAACAGATTTCAAAATTAGACATGATAGAGTGGCAAAATTAGTGCATTGGTCATTGTGCAAAAAATATAACTTGCCGGCCTCCAAAAACTCATGGGAACATCAGGTAGAGAAAGTGTCAGAAAATGAGGAATTCAAGGTCTTGTGGGATTTCCAGATCCAAACTGATAGACACCTTGAACATAACACACCAGGCATAGAAGTAATAGAATGAAGAAATGTCTGGATCATTGAAAATTGCAATTCCAGGGGATGCCAGAGTTGACAATAAGAATAGAAAAAACAAAACACAGAGACCTGACAATGAAAACATCTTGCTTGTGGATTAAACATATCTCAGTGATCCACAGAGTCATTAGGGCTTTGGGAACAATATCAAGAAATTTCACATAGTATTATAAGCAGTTGTAGATCTGAAAAATAACACCATCAGAGCTACAAAAAACAGCAATATTAGGAGAAAAACACCTCAGACTGCTGAAGAGATCTTTGCTTGCTTGTGGAAGGAAGACAGCAAATACAGGGCCAGCCTAGTTTCCTGTGGGATGGAGTTCCAGAGTCCGGGAACAACGACAAAGCAAGCCCTCTCCCATGTACCCACCAAACTGTTCCTGTGAACGTGATGGGACTGAAAGAGAAAGCCCTCCCTTGATGGTCTTAATGCCTGGGCAGGCTCACAGAGGGAGATGCAGTCTTTTAGAATAGATAGCTTGGACCCAGGCTGTTTAGGTCTTTGTAGGTTAGAACCAGCCCTTTGAATTGTGCCTGGAAACAGATCAGCAGTCAGTGGAGCTGTTGTAATAGGGGAGTTATATGTTCCCTGTAACCAGCCCTTGCAGCATTTTACAGCCTCTGGATTTCTAAACACTTTCCAAACGCATCCCCACATAAAGCATGTTACAGTAATCCAGCCAAGATGTAACTAGGACATGTGCCACCATGGCTTGATCAGCCCTCTTAAAAAATAGATGCAGCTGGTGCACTAGTTTTAACTGTGCAGTGGCTCTCCTGGCCACTGCCGAAACCTGGGCATCCAGGCTTAGAGACGAATCCAGGAGCACCCCCAAGCTACGCATCTGTGTTTTCAGAGGGAATGTAACCCAAACCAGTACAGGTCGAAACCCTATTCCATCATCTGCCTTTCAACTGACCAAGAGCATCTTTGGCTTGTCTGGATTAAGTTTCACTTTATTTGCCCTTATCTGGTCCATTACTGACACCAGACACTGATGAACAGCTAAAACAGCTTCCTTGGATTTAGATGAAAAGGAGAGAAGAGTTGGGTGTCATCTGTATATTGGTGACACTGAATCCCAAATCTCCCAGCCTCTCCCAACATTTGTATGTAGACTCAAAATAGCACAGGGCACAAAACAGAACCACAAGGGACACCACAGGCCAATGGCCAGGGTGTCGAACAGGAGTCCCCCAGCATCACTCTCTGGGTTCTCCCCTCCAGGAAGAACTGGAGCCACTATAAAATAGTGCCTGCCAGTCCCATCCCAGAGAGATGGCCCAGAAAGGTACCATAGTTGATGATATCAAAAGCCACTGAGAAGTCTCACAGATCCAACAGGGACATGACACACTCCCCCTGTCCAGTTCCTGGCAGAGGTTGTCCACCAAGGTGAACAAAGCAGTCTCCATCACATAACCAGGTCTAAAGCCAGATTTAAAATGGATCTAGATAATTCATCTCATCCAGGAACCCCTGGAGCCGAGAAGACCCAACCTGCTCCAGCTCCTTGCCCAAGTATGGGATATCAGAAACGACTGTAATTATCCAATACTTTGGGGTCCAAGGAGGGTTTTTTCAATAGTGGTCTTACTACCGCCTCCTTTAAGCATGCTGGGGTCATACCCTGCTGTAAGGAGGCATTCACCACCCAATGCTATAAGGAGGCATTCACCACCCCTCCTACCCACTCGGCCAGTCCCTCTCTGGCAGCTTTTATAAGCCAGGAAGGACAAGGGTCCTGTAGACAAGTTCCTCTCTCCAAAGTTCCTGTCCATATCATCGGATTGCAAAAACTGAAACTTATACACCAACATAGGACAATCAGGAGCCATAGTTATATCTTCAGGACCTTTATTAACTATAGCATCCAAGTCAGAGTGGATCCAAGTAATTTTGCCTGTGAAGTGGTGTGCAAATTCTTCACAGCAAACTCTAGTGTGGTCTGCATTCTCTTCCTGGGGGCTGGCATGTAATAGGCCTTTGACATCTCAAAAAAATCTCAGCTGTGCAATTATTTGCAGATCCAGTGGTGGCAGAGAAGAATGATGACTTTGTTGCCACCACTGCCATGGAATAAGCCCGCCAATGGACTCCAGCCTGTGTTCAGTTTTTTGCCATTGTTGCTCTCCTCTCCACCCTACTCCTTTCATGACTACCAGCTCCGCAGAAAACAGGGAGCCAGTTTGGCTTGGCTCTCCTTTGTTAGAGGGAATGCTTAGGAGCTATTGTATCAACAAACTGGCCATTTCCCCATTCCAGAGAGCAACTGGGACATGGACAGAGATGCCTGCTGAGGTGACAGGAAAATCTCCAAGAGCTGTCAGAAACTGATTTGGATCCATCAGCCTCCTGGGGCTGGTCATCTTAATCGGTCTCCCACCCCTGCAGAACTGCCGAGTTCCACTGAGTCTAAACTCCACCAGATGATGATCTGTCATGACAATGGAACTACAGAGAGTTCCTCCACACTCAGATTGCCAACATCTACCCAGCAAAGAAAGACAGATCTAAAGTGTGCCCTGCAGCATTAGTGGGAACAGATACAATTTGTCACCATGGAGGACATGAAGTCCTGAGCCACTCTTGACAGATCTGCCTCAGCTTGGATGTAGAAGTCCCCTACCACAAGCTGAGGAGACTCCAATACCACACCCAAGAGCAGCTCAGTGAGCTCAAGGAGGGAGACTGTTGAGCAATGGGGTGGACAGTACAACAGGGTGGACATCTTGCTCTCAAAATGGGAGAGGAACAGGCAATAGCAGTTGTCTTTGGTAAGGAACAAGGGAGCATGCAAGGGATGATGGATTTCTTTTCACTTTCCACTATTTAACAGTTTATGGCCATCTGTCACTTTGAACGAAGAATTGCCCAACTGCATTCTCTCTGGTTCCATAGTGGTCAAGCCCAATGTGAAAAGATTTACTGAAACTTCTGTCATCTTTGAAGATGGAACGGTAGAGGAGGACATAGACGTGGTCATCTTTGCTACAGGTTACAAGGCCAAATTTCCATTCCTGGAAAAATCTGTTCAGAATATCTGCAAAAGCAGCATCTCTCTCTACAAGTGTGTCTTCCCTCCTGATCTGGAGAAGCCCACACTGGCTTTCATTGGCTATGTAGGAGTAACTGGATCCATTCTACCAGCAGCAGAACTTCAGGCTCGCTGGGTCACAAGAGTGTTTAATGGTAAGAAAGCTAACTTAGAGGCAAAGATACCCTCCTCTAGGGCATTCTAGTTTTAATCTTTTGCTAACACAGTTTTAAGTATTTCCATTGGGATAGGCCTTGTTAGTCTGTTACAGCAAAACCAATAAAAGAGTCTTAAGACATCTTATACAATAGGATGTTTGATTTGGCATATATTTTTGTGGGCTGCATCTGATTAATTGGGCTGTAGTCCATGAAAGCTTATGCCAAGTGAAGTATTTTAATGTGTTGATCTGCAAACATGTGGGCTGTAAACTTCTTAAGATCTTACACTGATACCCCCTGATCAAATATATTGGTCTCATTGTAATCAGGGACATAAAAAGCAGTTTGGAGCAAACTGGCAAAAGTGGCTCCATGCGCATCACTATTCCAACTCTTGTTTTTGAGAGAGCCCATCAACTGCTACATTTTTGTAAGGATTTAAAACATTTCTATATTATAAAAAACTATTAACTTATTATTAATAATAGTATTAAGAAATATTAGATATACGCACACGGTTTTCAAATAGAAGACCAAAAGTGCAATCTGGTACATACCTAATGAGAAGTAAATCTGATGCATTTCACAAGGGCTTGTGACATAAGCTTTGTCCTCAAATCTCAGAAGGCTCTTCCTGCATGTTTTAATGCAATGTTTGCTCATTTGTTGGTGTTTTAAAAGTAGTAACATCCAATTGCAGCCAAGAATATTGATACTGAATGCTGATATTTTTCCAATACTTTATATACTTCGTAAAAAAATATTTTGCTTTATCCTGAGACCATGTTTTATTACTCTAAGGTGAATTCTTCTATTTCACCCAGAGAGTTCAGCATGCTACAGACTACTTTTTTTAGCTAGGTCTAAGGAACTCTGTATTTCCAAGACATAGCAGAAATCAGGCCTAATATGACCGTAGCAACCACATTGTTTCATCATATATCTGTATATATTCTCAACATCTACAGTGCAGGAGGATCGGTTTTTATAATAAAAAGGGGTGGGGAGGGTGAAAGAAAGCCTAAAACCTGCCCCATCTTGCCACAAAATGCTGGCCATCCAGATTCCTTTTCTGTAGTCATATGTCAGAAGTAAGCCTGGGGTAATGGGCCAAAAATGTGGAAGGACAGAGAATGTTTATCTTCCTTGCTGTGTGATGTTAAAGTCAGACACCTCCCATTCTGCTTTACACATCATCTGTGATTAAACCAACATGGGTAATTTTTATTAATTTAGGTTTCAAAAAACTTTCTGCCGGTACCAAACAGGTTACAACTGAACTGAGCAGTCGTTTCTATACATATAGATTACAGTATTTTTGAGTGTTTCAGTTAGAATAGATTCATTTAAATTAATGGAACTTTTACAGAGGAACTCACAGCCATTGATTCAATGGGCCTACTCTTGCATGATTTACTACTCTAAGCAACAGCATTTTGGCCAGTGAAAACCAGAAAACTGTGACTTAGAAGAGCATCTATGAAATAATAAAGGAACTATAAAAGATCCTGAAGTATTAGGATGTGTCCAAAACCAGGATTATTAATACTATGGTATTTCTAATTACATATGTGAACGCACAGCAATGAAAAAAGATAGTTAGGTAAAAACAAATTGATTTAAAATTTGATCTTGGAAGATAACTTTACAATACTATGGATCACAAGAAAGACAAATAAATGTATTCTATATAAAAGACATTCTGAACTCCTAGAATCTAGAAGCTATCTATGATCAGACTGAAGATGGGATCAGACAGGGATTTGTCCCACAGTTTCATCTGTTTTGGAGACAGGCTTTTTCTGGTGACCATATTACATTTGGGCAATTGTGAAACAGCCTATCCTGGATCCATGCTTACCCATATGTTTTTGGGACCCTGTAAGGGGCCACTGGTTTGTTTTTTTGTTTGTTTTGGTACAAATAGGATGATTCCATTTTGGTTCAGTTCCAGTGTATGTGATTGCTGGAATCAAACCAAAGCTTATGGCTTAAGCTGTTATTTTGCTTAAGCCACTTGACAATATTAGACAATTAAAAGCTTACTCCCATTCTCCTGCAGCGGAGTTGGGGGGGGAGGAAGCAGGGATGCATTGCTGATGTGCTATGCCACTTAAAAGTTTCTTTTAAACATTGAATGTTTCCTCCTGCTCCCCCACAGAAGAGGACAAGGAGGGGGATTTGTTTTAGCTTTGTTTGTTTGTTTTCCTTTAAAAGGAGAAAAAACCAAATAGGGTGTGGTTTGGTTTCCTAGCCCCAAACTACCTGATCCTTGCATGTGGTGTAGGGATTACCTTAAATAACTTCATTGTTGTTATGTGCTGTCAAGCTGCCTCTGACTTATAGCAAGCGTATGAATGAGAGATACCCAAAAAGTACTATCCATAATAACCTGGCTTTGCACTTGTAAACTCAAGCCTGTGGGTCCTTTAGGGAGTCAATCCATCTTGTATTTGGTCTTCCTCTTTTCCTGCTGCCCTCCATCTTTCCCAGCAATACTGTATTGTGTTTTCTTTCAGAGAATCTTGCCTTCTAATGAGGTGCCCAAAGTATGACAGACTCATTTTTCATCTGATAGTTCAGATGCATGAGGTATTGACATACCATACCTCAAAGGAATGGATGATCTAGCTCTGTCCAGACTGTGATCATTTGGATGTCTATTTGCATCCAGAGACTAAGATACATAGTACAGTACCTATCATGAGGAGATAATATGCATGGAAAAAAAGACGGTGATGCTAGGAAAAGTTGAAAGCAGTATGCAAAGACAAAGACTGAGCATGAAATGGATTGCTTCAGTAAAGAAAGCCATGGCCTTCAGTTTGGAACATCTGAGCAGTGCTGCTAATGGCAGAAACTTTTGGAAGTCCTTAAATCATAGGGTCGCCATTTAAGTCAGAAGTCCTTCCATTTTCAAATGTATGTATGTGCATATGGCTTTATGAGTGGATAATCAGTATTTCCATTTTCTTCAAATCTTCAAATGAGGTATCTCATTTTTGTCTTGAGTTTAGTGTGTAGTTTCTCTCCCTGTGAGTTTGTGATAGATTTCCCCAACAGTCAGTGTGTTTTTGCATGTAGACGCTGTGGCGATCCCCCTTTGTGGCCCCTATTTCCTGGGGCTCCACACAGACAGTTTCCGCTGCCACCAGATATTCTCTTAATACCACCTCAAGTCCCACACAGGAACTGTCACCCCAAAAGGTCATATACTTTAGGAGACAGGGTTTATGATTAAGTATTCTTCTATTATTATTCAACAGGAAAATCATATGTGAATTGGCTCAGGTGTTAATCCTTTTAAGTTCATGCAATCAATCACTTTACTATCAATTTAATATCTCTCTTGTTATGCTTATGCGTTCATTCCTGCTTGTTACATGTGTTTTACTTTCAATGTTCTCTCCTAAACCTCTTTAACCTGTTCCTAAACCCTAACCCTCTCTGTACATCTTCTGGTCCCTGACTCTTTCTACCTCTCCTTAACTCCAACTGTCTCTAACTGTCCTTCAACTCCTTCTAACTGTCATTCTAACTCCGCCCCTCCTGCTCTATCCTAGGCTTCTCCCTCTTAGCTGCTGTGATGGACAGGCAGGAATTACATCACCTTTCTGCATTCCGCTACAGACTCATTAAATAAACTATTCAAGTATCCTGGGTCTTAGCTGCAGAGGAAGACAGGGGGGTATACTGACAGTAGGGTAGGTGAATATAGAACAACACATGATGTGGCATACTATACTTCTCAAGATTCCTGGCACTTCCAAGTCACAGTTAGAGTAGACTTATTTGAATCAATGGAATGTTGTGATGAGGTTTGCTTCCTCCCTCAGGCGGCCCCTCATTTTTGGAGGGAAATAATAAAGGTGTAGTCAACTTTATTCTCTCCAACATCCACCAGCACTTCACTCGAAGGTATCAACGTTCCCAACTTAGGCAACAGGCCACTAGACTCAGCAACAAAACTTTTATCATAGTCCCATGGACTCAACGGGGTTGCCCCCCCCATGCCATCCCTTGTCCTCCGGTCGCGGGGGTGGGGCACTCCTGATCGCATAAATAGTCCCACAGCATGAGTGCCTTATCCACCCCTTTTCATCTGGACCTTCGGGAAATGGGGAATGGGTATCCCCCCACTCACGCCGCAGCTCAGCTTCTCTCGGTGCCACGATAACGGTCCACTCATGGGTCACCAATCTCTTTGGACTCTCCGTCTCGCATTCCGGGGTGGGTAGGAGTCCTCCCACTTTCAGGTTAGGAAAGTCTTTTAAGAGTCCTTGAATGCGTACCCTCTCAAATGCTTTTCCCCTCTCCTCCCGTTTCTTTCGCTCATATTCCTCCACCACAGTACTAAACCACACCACCCCTTCCTCGCTTTTAACCTCCTCCCACCCTGACACCTCCTGCTCCGCCCACTCACCCTCGACCAAACACACTTCCGTTTTTCCCACCTTTTCCACATCCTTCAAATCACCCGCTTTTTCCTCCACCGACCCTGACATCTTGAGTGGTTCCTCTTTTTTCATCTGGTCCTCAGTTTTGATAGTTAAGGACAGCCCACTCTTTGCCTCCGCTCCTTCACAAATGTACAAATGAGTTGCCTCACCAAATCCCCATTGAGTCAA